TATCACATTGCCGTCTGATGCATTATATGCTTGCATCTCGAAAAGGTATTTTGTGCTTACATATCGGTTTAGCCCAAATTCTAAAGAGTACCCATCGATGCTGTGTGACCTGGCCTGCTTATCTCCAAAATCGTATCTTGAAAAGCTTGTTTCGATGTTGTGCTCGACCCCAACCAGCGACTTGATGGAAAAGTATTCTTTGTCAGCGGATCAGCTATTTCGAATTTGTTGGAACGCAATAATATTAATCAGCAGATGCGGAAGTTTGTCTTGGGATGCAGTAATTTTTGATGACTTATTATTAGACTCTCAAAGTTTTGGTGGAAAAGCTTGATGGCATCGCATCCGGTGTCCATTGTGATGATAAAAAATTTTATGATTTGCTAAGTTTCCTTGAAAGATCGTCAAATTGCGCAATAAGCCCTGACGAGCCCTCTTTACTGTCTATGGAGAAATTTAGCCTGCTCTGCTTGAATGACAAGAATGTACTATTTGATATCCTTTCGAAATGCCATGATCTCAGCCTCCCAATATTCTCGCAATGTCAAAGAAAACGGTTTTTATTGCTGGCCTTGAGGTCTGCGTTAGCCCTGGATTGTGTGGAAGATGTCATTTGCGTGTTGAAAGAGAATCTCTTTAACCAAATCCCAAGTCTTTATAACACGTTTGTTCTGTTTATTTACCAACTTACGGCGGCAAGTTCTAAAAGGCATGCAGGCTTTTTGGAGCTTATTGAGGATATCGAAAAGGTTTCCGATACCAAGCTGCTTGCTTTGTATGTGCTTGCAAATTTATCCTGCGATAAAGCTTTGATGCTGCATCCTGAAATTAAACAAAGGCTGGAGCAGCAGATCAGCACCATTGCCAATTTGTCTTCACAGACCGTGACGCTCAAGAAGCATAATGGCAAACCCGAGCCCTCCAAAAAAAATCAGAAAAAGAAACTTCGAAGGAGAAAGCTTTACCTTGAAAAGCTATCTAAAAAAAACGGTGGCGCCATCCCACCTCAAAAAGCTAAACCGCTTGATCAATGGACTCCAAAACCAAAGAAAAAGATTGGCAAAAAGAAAACCTACAAAAAGCCTAATGCTGCCACCAAATAAATTGCTCCTAAGGCTTTTACAGCTTTATTGTACCGATAATAAAATGACGATCCTTTGCATCATATCGGGCCTTGGTGAAAATTACACCGTGTTTGCGCACAACGAGCAATCAAGTAGCGAAGATGCCAGTTTCTGGCACAACGAGAATTCGGACATCTTAATTTGCATTTTGGGTGTCAAAATACTTGCTCTTGTACGTGGAGCTGGAGTCGCCAGGTGTTTCAAGATCAGGCACCATTAATAATCTTGTCAAAAGGAAGGACTCGCCAGAGGAGAGGCTGAAAAGGATTTTTCTTTGATCTTGATGCAGGTCGTTGAGTTGGGCAACGTAAATGATGTTGTGTTGTGCAAACTTGTCTGAAAGCTCCCGCAGCCTTTCAAGAGTAAAGATCCTAACAATGTCCTTCCCGTGGCGCTCAATGTAAGACCTCGGTGTTTGGCTGTTTTCCCTCACAAACTGCCTTTTAATTCGATCAAGCAATGAATATATTTTTTGGGTATCGCACGAAATTTGATATTTAAACGCAGTGTATCTGATATCCTTGGACCTCTTGCAGATATTCAAGTTATACGCCTTTAAGGGAAGACCCCTTAAATTGATGTATGTAAACAAGGACGAGGCGGTGTGCCAGCATTTGTTTCGTATGCAGGACGAAAAAAGGCTGTTGATGGCGCCATAGTACATGTCATTCAAAAACGGCTTCACCAGGTGATAAAATCTAGCAAGCTCGCGAATATTGGCACGAACATTGACATAGTAGTAAAAGATGATTAGAATGGTCGTTTTGGTCGGTTCTATTTGGTTTTGTGCCATCAGCAAAAGAATTCTAAAAATAAATGGGTCGACGTTCAGACAGGCAAGTTCGTACAACAGGCTGTCTTTGTAGAACCTTTCATCGACCAGCTTCATGCGATTCCTGAAGATGTTAATGGTATCGAAGAGCTTGCTTGGAGGGGCTTCGAAAAACCGAGCATAAGAAAAGTTCGTTGACTGTGAAAATTTCGCTTCATAAATGCTATAAAGCGTCGTGGTCTGGGCTTCCAAAACATCAAACATATAGTGATTTAGGATTGGATTTTTGTAGCATGCATCGAGAACCAAGTTAATATTGTTGACGTCCAACTTTCCCCAATTCCGGGCAATTCGAAGCGAACCCATAAATGAAACGATTTTGGAAGGGTCGGATTGCGAGTATATTTTTAGCACCAACCCATCGTGATCGGGATCCAAGGGACACCCGGTTTCCTTGCAAAGAACCAGCGGGAGAAATGTTTTACACAATTCAAAGGATGCCGTGTGAATACAAGAGTCCAAAAGGAGGGTTAAATCGTTCGAGGAAAAGCAAAAGTACGGATCACGTGTGTAGTGGTTAAAGATGCTAATGGCGTCTTCCCTACGCTGGCCTCTGATCAGCTCGCCAAGTGCCAAGGTGACGAAAAAGGACGGCTTCAGGTGGTTTTTAATGCACCCATCAATGCTTTCAATGATTGTCAGCATATCCCGAACAGAGCAACACCAAACAATATACAGCTTCCGGATGTCTTCATTAAGAACGCTTGACCCCTTGATTGACCTGTATGCATTCTGAAACAATAGGGAATTTTTATCTGCCGATAAAAGATACAGCCAATAGTAATAAATCAAAGACGTGGGCTGCAGCAGTTTGATTTTCATGTTCACAATCAAGGTGGAGATTGATTGGGCGGCTTTGCATTTGAAAAAAACATACGCCAAGCGTTCGTAGATGCATATTTCGAGAGGAATTTTGAGCACTGACAGATCTTGAAATAGCCCTTTCAAGTGCTGCACCTGTAACGATGGTGTGATTTCGGTGTTGAAATTTGAACCAAACACAGAGGTCAGCTCATCTTTGGGTACCCTTAAAAGCTGGCAAAAGATTTTCATGTTCAAAATATATGGCGAAACCGTCAAGCCATGGTGTTGAAGATCTTGAACAAGCCGATCCAACTCGTCCACCATGGATTTGCACGCAAATTTGAAAGCATACGATTCGAACAGCTCCAATGTCAATGGCTGCTTTTCAAGCAGATATTGCTGTAAGATGTCAACAGAAAAGGGCCCAATATTTCCTCTAATGTACTTTGGAGTTGGATCGTTGGAAAAATACCGCAATGCCCTGTATGAAAATTGGCCTGGAAATTCCTCCTGCCGCTCATTGACATCGTTAGGATCTGAGACTACAGACGGAATTTGATCAAACGACTTGATGGAATATTTTAGCTTGTAAAATATGCCGCCAGGGCCAAAATGAGATCTGATTTCCGCAAAAGGTAAATGGGAAACGCCAAACCCTTTCGGCTTCACAATGGAAGGCAGCATGAAGGTTCAAATTGGTAAAAATTAATTAGCCCACGCCTCCTCTCTCCCATAATTCGAAATTTATTAAATGGGGTTATGTGTGTTTTTGATTTATATTTTTAATTCTAAACTCACGTTATTAAATAATGATGATTAGTTCTGACGATAGGAATTGCCGTCAAAGCCTATATTAGGCAGTGACCGATAATTGAACTTTTCTGAGACCACCCCCCCCATCCATGATAAACAAGCATAGAATTTAAAATTTAAGTACCATCGCCATACTGGCCATCGTCATCATGTTTAATAGTAATAGTCGTCATCGTCGTCGTAGGAATTGTGGCCTTCTCCGCCCCCCAATAGGCCATAATCTTCTAGGGACGGCACTTCCAGTTGATATCTCAAGATTGCACCTATTCCTCCAAAACCTTTTACAAATTGAGATCCTTCTTGACTCTTATCGGTTACAAACTCGAGAGAGGCGCCAAACTCTTTGAAATGCGTAGCAAGCCATTCAAGAAGGGATTCCTTTTCGACAACATCATAGTCAAGTCCGGACGATGGTTCTTGAAAAACCTTTCGATCCTTTTCCTGCTCTTTGTTAAGATGGACAATTTTGATCTGAGAAGCATTGGTTGGCGATCTCAAAGTATATCTATTGATGTCGAGATTTTCCCACACAATAAGGGTTTCAACAGCACCAGAATCGAGAGCAAACAAGGTTTCGTTAACCCCGAAGCAATACCTATTTGTATCGAGCGCAATTTCGTCAAAGTATTTTTGAATAAGCTTCTTTTCTTGGACAAACTTGACATTTAGAAGCACTTCCTGGCACAAATCAATTGCCTGGTTGAAGCCATTTTCTCCGCCATATGAAACATCCACGGTTTTGATTACTTTAACCTGAAGACGTTGGTCAAACATATCGGATGTCTTGAGCTCCGTTTTAAAATCAGCAGATCCTGCAAGGATAAGGCCAGCAACGTTGACACGGTCATTGGTTATAAATACTTGAACAGCAACCTCGGCCACTTTTCTTACATAGTTATGCCGCTTTTCCATTCGAAGCCGAGAAAACCGAAGAGCAGATTGGCCTCCCCTTCCGTGCTTCTTTGGCAAATCCACGGAGAGTTTGTGAAGAACTTCGCGAGTATTTCCACAAACGGTTCCAAAAAGAGATCCGTTTCCATCCATAATGATGAATCCAAACTTCATGTCGGACTCCAATAATTCTGAAAGGGCCTCGGTGTGGAACTTGTTATCGCAAAGATACAGAGAGGTATTGATTGGCTTAAAGGGCTCCATATCAATGTTTACTAGCTTTTCCTTTCCCTCATCAGTTAGAACGGTGCCGCAATAAATGACGAGCCCGTTTTGCGGGACCTTGTTATAGAGCTTCAGCCTATTTTGTGTAGAGGTGATGGCGGATAAAACCGACTGGCGGTTGACACGGCTTTTGATATTCGATGCCGTTCCAAACTCGTCAGCCAGCATTTTGGAAATCCTTGATATCTGGTCGCGAGGCGGGATGATTAACGATATCATGGATGTGCCATTGCCTCGAGCAGCCTCAAGAGACTTGACTAGTTTTTTGATCTTCCACATTTCTATGCTTCTGTCTGAATCATCCATGCAGGCACTTGAAGATGAATTGCTGGAGGAAGCACCTGTAGAGCTGGACGGCCCACCAAGAATGGATGATGACATAACAGCGCACAAAAAATTTCTGCAAAATTTCTGCAAAAAGTCTAAATTAAAACATTAATTTAATATTAAATCCGCCACTGCAATCAATGATCAATGGCAAGTTCGGGAGCGATCCACATACTCTAAATATGAATGCCTATTTTCGAGGCACCTCGACGTACGATTCTCTGCTAAAAATATTGATCATTGGCGATTCAGGTACTGGTCGTGGCTAAGATTTAGGGGTCGGCAAAAGCTGTCTTTTGATGAGGTTTTGCGACGATATGTTTACGCCCTCCTTTATTTCTACGATTGGGATCGACTTTAAAATCAAAACAGTCACCATTAATGGCATGAAGGTTAAGCTTCAAATTTGGGACACGGCTGGCCAGGAGCGTTTCCGAACCATTACCACAGGTATTGTTTTGTGCTAATTGTCGCAGCATATTACAGAGGAGCAATGGGAATTGTCATCGTCTATGACATCAATGAGGAAAAGTCTTTCAACAGTTTGTTCTCGCTTGCTAATGTTAGACGTGCAAGAGTGGCTTCAAACCATTTCCCAGCAGGCCGATCCAAACGTCAGGCTGATCCTTGTCGGAAATAAATGCGATTCAAAGCATGAAAGGGTATTTCTAATCTTTTGATTGCCATAGCAAGTTAGCTATGAAAAGGCGCTGCTATTTGCTCAAGAAAAAAAAATGGATTTCATCGAGGCATCTGCTAAAGAAGACATTTGTGTGGATGAGATTTTCTTGAGACTGGCAACGTCCATCTCAAACGATCTAAAAAAAACGGAGTCCCTTAGTCAGCCCTCATCTCCTTTAATGGAATTGAGGCAACGGGGAAAAGATACCAGGCGATCTAATCCCAATCCCATACTCCATGTAGACTTAAATACGGTGAACAAAACTTCTGAATGCAGCAATAAGAAGCAACACTCATTTAGAAGATGCTGTTAGCGGAACGTTTATTTAAGAATAAAAAATAAAAATGGAAATTAAACACAAACTTTGCAGCCCCAAATCAGGCGCTATTATTTAAGGGCCGATCGCTTCATACGCTGCTCAGCGATACGTTTGCGATCCTTGTTGAACAGATCTCTCAACTGTCGAATTTCTAAAATAAATAAAAAGCCCCCTAAATACCTTCAAAATTCTTGGTTTTCCGGTCCCTTCGATAAAAATTTGGGATAATAGCAGGGTCCTGGTATTTATCCAGTCCCTCCACTGGTTTGACACTGGATGGGTCGTAGAAAGCGAAAAGACAATCATTGGTGCTATGAGTGCAGAGTGTTGGTGCGGAATCAAGAGATGCAGCAATGTTTCGACCCCTTTTGTGAACAACTGTGGTAAATCCGTCTTTATCAACGATCGGGGCCGAGTCAGAAAGATCTTTCTTTTTCTTTTTAGAGGCTTTGGAAAGAAGGTCGTCTTTTGCACGCTGTTCAAGAGCCATATCGTAAGAGCGGACAATTGCTTCACATTTAGAAACAAGAGCATCGATTGCCGAGTTTCTGGCACCAAAATTAATATTTCCACGGTGAATCCGCTGCGAATGATATGTCGCAATAAGCTCCGAAACAAAGCAGGTTAGAGGCATATAAAAAATTAAATTTTAATTGAAAATAAACGAACATACATGGGCTCCTCCATAATTGAGGACAAAATATTTAGAAGTATATACAATTGCATTCGAAAATATTACGACGCTTCAGCTTCCAGGGAAATAATATTTTCATTCGATGCAAGCTTCTTTTGTGGGAAATTTCCGGGCGTCAACAGGAATACCCTTGAGGCTATATTCCGCCTTTTTTGGCAGCGGCGTATTCTTCTGCATGCTCATACCTTTAAGGACCGGTCTGGGCCAGCGTCGGATCTGCTTGCAAAGTTTCCTTTTAATATTAATGATAGAATCACAGAGGTCCCACATTCAATTATGGAGATCTCCATTCGATTCATGATGCCGCCTTGCTTCATAATCCGAGTTGTTTTGGGAGAATTTATTCGGTCGTCCAATGAATCTTTTGACCCTGTTGCGTTAAAGGGTTGGATGAACGCCCCTCATACAATTCCAAATGCTTCTTTGTCCAAGGCAGCGTTGTTAGCAATAGAGGCTGATGAGATTGCCTCTCCCCTGGCCGATGCAAAGAAACAGTGGGCGGTTGTAATGGTAACCATCATAGCGAGACTGGGATGCAGTATGAACAGGCTTTGATACAGCTTGTGTCTAAACTTGATCTGCCGTTCATCGAGGAACAGGGTATGAGAAAATTAGGATATCCCAAAACGCCGGACATTTTGCTGCCTGTTCCGATCGGTAGCGGTTTGTTGTTGTTATCTTGGCTAGCATTCGGCAACTTTGTTTCAAATTGGATTGAAAGTAAGGCCCTTTTTGGGGATATAAAGACGCACGAAAGATATCTAAAAAATCAGTATTTGACTTACTACAACAGGTATGATCCACTGGTGGCCATAATGTGTAGATATGGGCCTGGAATAGTGATCTACTGGTTTGGGTTTACCAAGGAAATCCTCAATTTCACAGAATCCGTCATGGTTGTAGATTCGCTTCCAGAACATATCACCATGCTTACGGCGGACGAGTAGACCCCGTAGTCCTTGTATTTATTATAAACCAGTGTAGCATCATAAAGACTAGCACAAGGACCCCTTAATGAAATTTATTTAATTGCTCAGAGCGATTCGGGAAATACCTTCGGTGATGTGTTGAGGGCGCAGAGTAAAGTCTTGGGTTTCCACGGTAACGTTCATATGATTTTCATCCTCTTTGGGCTCATAAATAAGGACTTGATCTGGGAGAGGTTTTTTAGGACCAGTGCGACCAGTTGGATCGTATGGAAGCATAATTTTAACCTTTACACCCAAAACACCTTGACGAAGAAGGACGTGGCGCGTAGCGGAATCAATATAATCGGCAGAAGGTTGACCGGAGTGGACCAAAAATCCGTCTGAAAATTTCATTGCCTTTGCACGTTGTCCACGGATTTTACCAGAGACAATAACCTCACAGCCTTTAGCACCAGCTTCCATAGCATAACGAAGGACAGAATAGCATGCTTTTCGCACAGCAACGGACGCAAGGAGCTTGAAGCGAAGAGATTCGCATTGGGCAATAGCACAAAGTCCACGATTCTCAACACGTTCAATGAAAAGCTCGATCTTGCCATCTTCAAATTGGAAGCGCTTTTGGATGAGCATGGTGAGCTCTTTGATGCGCGTTCCACGTTCACCAAGGACCAAGTTTGGTCTAGTGGCTCTAATGATGATTTCTGTACGATGTGCGGTGACTTTGATCTGAAGGCCAGCATATCCAGCCTCCGAAAGCTGGCGAGTAAAGAACTCGTTCAACTCAGCATAGAAAACACCGTCAGCAACAAACTATGGCGTTAGGGTGAGAATATTGATGGATGAAAAACATATATTTTAGCTCAGATGCCGGTCCATTACACTACATCGACCGAATACAAAATAGTCAATGTTCAAACAAGAGGTGTCAGAAATAAACTTTGCATCATCATTGCGAATGCTTTGAAAAAAGGGCTTACCTTGCGCTTAATATTCATCTTAATAGCTCCCATGGCTGTGTATCAAGTAGAATTACAAAAAATGAAAGAATTACAACAGGCGCAAATTCACAATGTAATTAGTACATTTACAATTTAAACATTTAAAGTGCAATTAAAGGCCCCAATTTAATTTTGATGAATAGACGTTTATCGGCATCAACTTTGTTATCATCGTTATCAATCGTGCAAAATTCGGGCTTTTTTACAACTCACCATATACGGATTAGTACGCCAAAGTCGGATTCTTTTTTGAGCATGAGAAATTTTTCAGACACAACCTTGTCCAATAGAACCGAACACTTGGTAATTATTGGGTCTGGTTGGGGAGCTTATCGGGCTCTTCGAAAAATTGACCAGTCAAAATATAGAATAACGGTTGTTTCGCCAAAGGATTATTTCGTATTTACTCCTTTTCTTACTGGCGCTTCGGTGGGCTCCATTGAAGATAGGGCGGCGATAGAATCTATCAGAAACCAACAGTCTGGAGGCATGTTTTTTTCTGATAACCAATTTAGCTCTCTCCCACATACTGGCCTCCGTCACTGAAATTAATTTTCAAAAGCAAGTCTTAAAAGCCAATACAACGATTCCAGTAATATCGAACTCTTCTTCCCTCTTAGCCTCCGCTATCCCAAACGCCAAATTAGATATCGAGCTGTCATATGATAAACTGATTATTGCTTGCGGTGCCGTGGTGAATACTTTTAATACACCAGGCGTTTCAGAGCATGCGCATTTTTTGAAAGATGTGACTGATGCACAATCGATAAGATCGAAAATTATGTCTCTGTTTGATGAAGCAGATATTCCTGGAACTTCTGAAGAACGGAAACGTTCTTTGCTTCACTTTGCCGTGGTCGGTGGCGGTCCAACAGGAGTTGAATTTCTTGGCGAACTTTACGACTTGGTCCATAATGACCTTAGTCGTGTATTCTCCAAAGATCTAATTTCACACGTCAGCATGTCTTTATTTGATGTAGCACCCAAGATTATGTGCACATTTCATCCTTCACTTGTGGAATACACAGTTGGGGAACTTCAAAAAAGGCCATTTATTTCAATAAGAACGTCAACATCCATCTCAAAAATATCAAAAGACGAAATTTTTGTAAAAAGCCCGAAAGAGGAAATAGTTCCGTATGGCTTTCTATTGTGGGCAACTGGGGTTTCTCCGTCCCAACTTACACGCTCACTGGCATCTTCTCCGCGTATTGAAGGAAGACCAGTCATCGATTCCAAGTCAGGAAGACTCCTAACCGACGCATATTTAAGGGTTATGCGAGAGGAATCGTCCAAATCGGTTCCATTCGCTAATGTTTGGGCTATCGGTGATTGTGCTGGCCCCGAATATCCCCCCACTGCTCAAGTAGCTAAACAAAAGGGCGAATATGTTGGAAGCTTAGTCAATAAGCTTCATCTTGACAATGATATTAACGAGAATAGAAAGATTCGTCCATTCGTCTATAAGGACAGAGGCTATATGGCCTACATTGGGAAAGGAAAAGCTGTTGTTGGGCTTAGTGTTATCGGAAAAGACCTACGTCTTTTCAGTGGAAAATTTGCCAGACTCCTTTGGGATTCAGCTTACCTCTCCATGTTGACTTCTTGGAGGAATCGAGTTCTTGTTCCTCTGTATTGGACTCTTGCCTCATGGTTTGGAAGAGAAATTTCTTGCATAAAGAAAAATCCAACTATAAAATAAAACGCTTACCAAATTTTCTCAACTAAACAAAGGAGTTCTGGCATTTTTATCCGAAAACAGGGATTCTTAACAAGACATTTGAGCGCAATTGAGCGCCAATGGCTCCACCCATCAGAGGACTCCGTTTGAGACGGCGGGGACTCCGGGATTTCTACCTGAGAATCCGCATTGGTGATTAGGGAAACTTTTTCTTTTAGCGATATTTGGCTTGAAAGGGAGAACGGCAGCTTTCCAACCAACATTTCATGAAGAATGCACCCCAGCGCCCAAATATCAGCTGCGGTTCCCATTTCAACAAATGAGGATGCTACAGGGAAATCCACAATGGACACCTTCAAAGATTCTGGCGCCATATATGAAAGCGTACCCATTTGGGTGTCTTTGTCAACAAGAACAACGTCATCCTCGTTTACAATCCATTTAGAAATGCCGAAATCGATTAGTTTTAACGTTGCCCCTTTGCATAGGACAAAGTTTGAGGGCTTTACATCACAATGGATAAGATTAGAAGAGTGCAAGCAAGCAACGCCTCGCACCGCCTATAAAAAGAGATTTCATCGGATACCTGTGGAAAAAAATATGCAATAAATCGAAGATCGCCTAGTAGAGTTAGGTCACCAAGGCATATGATAAACTTACCAATTTTTTCCGATGTCAATAGCGCCGAAAGGGTGGCCTCTCCTCTTTCAAGGATGATGATTTCTCTTGCAATGGAGGCATCAATCAGCTGTATACAATGTGGCTTTCCAACCAAGTTTTCCAGAATTCGTTGCTCATGTTCGCAAAAATTGAACCCCGAATTGGAGGATGTAGATGAGCGCGAAAATATCTTAATAGCGACCAGCTTGGAATCTTCGACGCAAAATGCGGAGTATATTTTCGCGGAAGCACCACGCCCTATTTCGCACAAGAGGCAATAGGTTTTGTCGTTTAGAACCTATGTTTACATGAGGCTAGCTTTGTACCATAAATTTCAGCCTTGACGAGTTATTTGTTGTTGTCAAGCCGAGGGCTGATGGTTTTTGTGGAGGATCTGCAAGTTCGGCCTCGCTTGGCTTGGTGGATTTGAGAGGAGGACCTTTGGATTATAAAAAGGCAATACCCAATAGGCCCCTTGAGCGTTTCGTTGATTTTCCGTCATCCATGATGGCCAAGAAGAAACGCTACACTATTTTGCAAAGTTCAAACATTTTCAATAATTTTATTTGGCTGTAAGGGAATTCCAAAACATACAACGTTATATTTAAACATCATGTGGACGCCAGAGTTGTGTACAGCTGAGAAAGATCAGAAAAGGAGGAAATCTCGCTGCGAGCCATTCTTTTTGCCGAAGACGACCAGCACGTATATACAAATGACCATAATAAATCGTGAAGCTCATTTCTGGGGACCGACGAGAGATTTCCCAACTTTTCTTTGGCCTCCTCAGAGTTTAGCAGTAGGGAATCAATATGCATGCCAACGTTAAATAAAATAGACCTTTCTTTAGCAAGGACAAGCTCGTCATTATCTTCAAGCTCGGTTTCATCACTTGGAACCGGTTTTTTGACATCAGTCGTGTCACTAGAAGCGTCATCAATCTCATACTTGTCATTTTCATCGTTATCATCAAGCATCAAAAGATAAGTTTTAACGGGCAAAAAGAGCCTTTTGAATATCTTTCGATATTCGGCTGGAAGATTTGCATCCGAGTTGGATGGGCCGGCTGAGGATTGCGAAGGTGCGGTCCTCTTTGGTCTGAACTCGAGCTTTTGCTGATGAACCCCAGGTGATCTTTTAGGAGCACATGTGTGATGCTCTTTTTTTGCCTCTTTTTTGGAGGTTTTTTCAGGCCTGTTGGCCAGTAACACGGTGAGCAAGTAGTCTGCTCTTCGCTTTAAATGTTCCTCTGTAGGTGCAGGTCCTTTAAATGAGGATCCTTTGCCAAGCAATTTTACCTTCTTCGAAAGGGGCTGCGACGAAGCGATAACATCGATCCAATTCCCGTATCCCTTCGATACGACGCCACAAAGCAATGCAGCATCATCCTTCAGCTGCCATGGAATGCTCCAGTTTACCGGGGTTTTGAGGGTAATTTTCTTTTGACAAAGAAAAGCATGGACATTTGGATACGAGTCTGCTTGCGAGGAAGCAATCGCAAATAACAGATCCAGACTTTCCAATCGCTTCAAAAATGAAACGGGAGATATGTTCAGCCCAAAAACCTTTGAAGAGGAAATCCCGGAATGCGAAACAGAGGCGTCCTCCTCAGAATTCTTTTCAACCGCCAGTTGGTTCAATATTTCTTCAAGCTTTTCGCACAAAAAAGAATTCAACTCGGAAGTTGTACCAAAATTCAGATATTTGCATGCCAGCATACTTTGTTCCTTGTTTTCTTCGTGATTAAGCAAAAGCCCACGATGTCCAAAAGCAGAGAGCTGATAAAGAACCCATCTCATTTGTGGATAAAGATTGGACTTTACCGCTGCATTGTTGGCCTCAACTTCACTTCCAATGCGCCCACTGATCGATGCATTCCACAGGGTTAAAATTCCGGAGGAAGTCGACGAATATGACGTCGATTCAAGGGAAGGTTTTTCCCTTTCTTCCCTTTTCATCGGGGCAGTGGCTCGAGCTCCTCGCTTGCGGTTTTCCTGCTGAAGCTCCATTGCCTTGATCCTGTCAGACTCTTCTTGAGCAACACGATTGCCAAGGGCGAGCTCGGATTTTGGAATGATCTCAGACCATGCAAGTGCGCCAGACAAGTCTGCAACACGGAAGGAATCCAGAAATGACTCATCTTCGGCACTGGATTGCGAGAGCCCCACTTCCTCTTTGGTAAGATTGTCTTCTGCTTTGATCAGAATGGTATCTAAATCGAGCATTGCCGTTGAAGCGGGCCGAGAAAAGAGTAGCTGTAAGGTTCCGGAGTGACTGGCGCCCTCCGCAGTGGCTGTGGTCGTTGAAGAGTCATCCTCAAAGTGCTGAGCAGATGTATCGAAGGAATTCGTAATCATAATTTGGGCAAATAGAGATGAAGAATCATTAAGGAGGCCAGTGTCTGCATGCTCCTGAAAAAGAGCCTTGGCTCCAAACTGCAGAATCTTTTGAAACTCTGCTGAAGAATTGGACGAGGGAGATGTTAGCGAAGACGATGTCTTTGAGCGGTCCATTTTTTGGATCACAAGGTGATCAAGGACCATTTTCTTTTTTGCTCTCTCTAGAATTTGCTCCTCAACGGTTCCCTTTGAGACAAGGCGGTATACGGACACGGCCTTTGTCTGCCCAATTCGATGGCATCTAGCCATTGCTTGGAGATCGTTTTGGGGATTCCAATCAGAATCAAAAAGGATGACCGTATCAGCTGTGGTCAAGTTGATACCTAATCCACCGGCCCTTGTAGATAATAAAAAAACCGGAAGCGCTGCTCCGGAAGAGTTGAACCTTTCAATTTGCTTGTTCCGATCCGCAGAAGAAGTTCCTCCATCAAGCCTGCAATGTCGAATGCAACGTAGCGTGAGAAACTCGCTCAAAATGTTCAACATCAAGACGGATTGCGAAAAAATCAAAATACGATGCTCCTCTGCAAGAAGGCGCTTTAGTAGAGCATCAAGAAGCACCATTTTGCCGGAATGAAAAATTATGCCCTCCGAATCCATGTCCCGAGCAATTTGAGTAATCGGCGAGTTAGAAAAAAGATATGGATGAGAGGAAGCTTTTCTAAGCTCGTTCACAATATTAAGGAGCGAGGCGGACCCCTTAGTTCCGGCATTTCCATAGCTCCTGTTCAATTCCGAATAATTTCGTGTCAGAATCCATTTATAAAGCCGCTTTTGAAGCGGAGACAATTCAACTCGTAATATCCGCTCCTGCTTCATTGGTAGTGATTTTTCAACATCTTTTTTTAGCCTCCTTAAGAAATGTGGCTTGAGCGAGGTGTGTAGTTGCTCGAGCACCTTTGAGGAGTCTTCAGAACTCATCATTTCAGAAAGAAGCATTTGATCTTCCATTTTGAATTTATCTGGTTCCAAAAAGGAAAGCAAAGCATAAAGCTCTTGAATCGAATTTTGCAAGGGGGTGCCCGTTATCAAAAGCCTATTTGCAAAAGAAAATTCCTCCCGCAGGGTCCGATAAAGCAAGCTATTTACGTTCTTCAAACGATGGGCCTCATCTACAACCAGCAACGACCATTTTATCGATGAAGATCCCAAAATTTGCTTGTCTTTCATAACAAGCTCATATGTGGTTAAGAGGACGTTAAATGAAAGGTTTCCTTTCTTGCGTGAGAACATTGTATTGTTTCCCGGGCTGTTTATCGCAGTTGAGCCATCATAGAAATCATAATCCAGTATGACTTTTCTGGACAATCCATCCCCCAAATATAAAAGAGTGCGAAGAGAGGCAGGTGCCCATTGTTCGAAGGTCTTCTTCCACGCTTGAATGGTAGAAAGAGGCACAATTACGATGAAAGGCCCATCTATCTCCATTACCTCGAAAAGATACACAATAAGGGCTACAGATTGGATGGTCTTTCCCAGCCCCATTTCATCGGCCAAAAGCGTATTTATATTCCGATGCCAGGCATATGAGAGCCAATTCAAGCCAGCCAATTGATAATCTCTCAAAACTAGAGATCCATCTTTGTCATTTCCGGAGCCAATCCATGCCGGTTGCTCCTCCATTCGCACAAAAACGGGCCGATTTTTTGGATTGGTGATTAGCGGGGATGGTAAAGAAGTCGATGGGAATCTCACAATCGATGATTCGGCCATATTTTTGATGGCCTCCGCCAGAGCTGGGAAGGTCCAATCATCTAGGGTGGATTCCCAGGTAGATTCTGAATATGGCAGGTTGCACCATTTGATCAGAACTTCTTCTGGATGTCTGGAGAGAATCTTTTCAGGAACCATCCAAGATCTCCATTGGACAATCAAGAGTTCTCGCCCTATAATTGTATATTCATGTGGGTCCAGGGTTTCTTCTCCATTCAGACCAACCGGGTCAAGTTCAGAAAGCTCTTCCCTTTCGGGTATCCCATCAATAATGTGCTTTTGAATGTATATGTCTGCCTTTTTGTACAACTGGCATCTGGAAGACATCTGGTGATAAGGGACCCAGGAATTCCACCAATGTGAGCGATCTTTCCATTTTATAAGCAATAATAGTCGTTTTGAAGCAATGATTTTCCTCATCGAAATTGGAGAAAGAGAGGATGGTATGGTTCTTTGGCTAATCCCAGCCTCTCCAGTTGCAAGACGATCAATCCAAAACAACTCCTCTTCATCACCATTTGCATTTTCTCCACTTGAGAGGTTAGAAGAAGACAATTGGGATTCTGAAAGCCATATATGATCCATAATACGATCGATATGAATGGCTGGCTCTATGAAATAATAAAATGCAACGCTCCATACCATAAATAGTAGAAACGAGGCCATCCAAGCATCTAAATGGCTGTTGGAATTGAGGTTTGGATGCAGCTTTAGATTTGGACTTTTTCTTTGAAAAATAGTCCTTTGCATCATTATCTTCAAAATCGCCATCGCTTGAACTGGGATCGTTTTCAATATCAGAACTATCATCGACAATAGAGGAGCGTCTATTTCTTCTTGAAGAGGATGAAAATGCTTTCTCATTTTCAACAGACGAGGATGAGAAAGAGCCGCTATTATCAACGATAAGGTCGTCATTATCGTTTTCAAAATCGGCAATATCATTTTCTTTATAGCTAACTTGAGGTCTTGCTCTGGAAGAAAATCTTCTAAATGAGACATCAGTTGATCCAGAGAGATAGGCTCTTTTCCTTCTTGTAGAAACATCATCAGCATCAGAATCAGAATCATCATCCTGCAGTTCATCATCAGAGTAGAGTGTGTTCTTCTTTCTATTTCCCATGGTAGAATTAAAATTCCGCTCCGCGTCATCGATAATTGCCTCCTTCCTATATTTTGGCTGGTTGACACCAAGATACCGGAGTGAACGACGAGGTGCCTCGCTTGTCACGTTGCTAGAGATATCAATGTCACTACTATCCCTTACAAGAATATTCTCGTTGTCTGATGATGCTGAGGAAGACGAAAAGTCGATCGATTTAGATGATCGATGGCCAGAAGCATCAAATGGATCTGTGTTTGGAAAGGAAATTTGAGGCTCATATTTAAACCGCAATCTTGGAGGCAATGCAGAAATACTTGGAATCTCAGGATGGGGCGGTATCTCCTTTCCAATGCAGGACGAATAAATTACGCGCTCCGTAGAAGGACGGTTATCAATGGCCGCAGTGGAGGGGATAATTTCCTCCTCTTCATCTCTTTTCCCATTTTCAAATAGTGGATTGAAAGACACAGAATCTAATGTATCGCTTTCATTGCTTGAATATGAATTCATTTTGGACTTAATCGATCTGAACGATTACTGATGGAGAAAATAATAAAATTTAGTAATTTTAAAATCCAAATTTTTTATACCGCTTTTCAGAATGTTTCTAATGTATTAAGTCCAAAATGAATTCATATTCAAGCAAAAAAAGCGATACATAAGATT